ACAACCTAATTGCATGTAACGGTAGTATGTCACTAAGGAGGTTAAACCTCCAGCCATTCCTTTTATCAGTGATACCTGTAAGTGTAGAGGTTAAGCTAAGTTTTTAATGACTCTAGTGTGTTAAGCTGTTGAGCTGAGTGTAGCAGGATACTCAAGTAGAGTTACCTATGTGAGTGTGAAGTGGAGCCGCTTCTATAAGAATTGATAGGGCCTAATTCTTTAAACCACTCACTGAACCAGACTAGTATTCTAGGGCCAAACTGGACACAACAGTGAGAACAAAACGATGGTTGGAGTAATTCCTCTATAAGGTCTATTGTTTTGGTTTACATGAACGGCAGAATAATTTAAGACTTCGTGTTCACTAGATAGCCAGAAAATTCGATAGACTTCACTAGAAAGGGTTCAAAGCCAAAAGCTACCTTTTTTCAATGCTGGGGTTATTCTGTTGCACTCTCTCCGAGTCTTTGTTGTTTAAGTGTTGTCTGTTTGTTGTTATTCAGTCAATTTTTATTCATGTAGAGGATTGTTGAAAAAATAATGATTTTTTGGTGACTTTAATGCAATATTAGATTCTTTGTAATGAAATTTTTACACCACAAAAAGAATGACAAAAAACTATTAAGGTTTGAATGAGAAATTGACTCATTAAGTTGGCCTCATGAAGAGGTGTTAGGAAAGGTGTAAAACCTTATATCTCACATTGATTATAGATGAGAGCATTGATGGGTATTCAAATCCTATTTTTTGCATAATGGTGTAAGCCCTTTGAGGCATCCAAATTTTCCAAAGGAAGGGTGTTATGGATGTTTCAAGGATGGACTTGGGCCAAGACTATGGTTCGAGTTGGTTATGCAAAAATTGCCACACGTGCGCATACCGCCCAGACCAGACCGAGTCGAGGCCGGGTCCGTGATCCGTGGGTCGTGGATCTTGGGACTTGGGACTTGGGCTTAGGCTTGGGCTGGAGCTTGAACTTGCTGGAATGGATTGAGCGTGGGGGTTGGGCTTCGTCCACCCATCTTAATCTTTTTGGGCCAAGCCAGATCTATGGGTTGCAAATATTTATGTACACAAAACTTATGTGTATAGCTAATAACTCCTCTATTGATAATGGACTTAAACCCATCAGTTTTGCAGGTTAATGCAGAATTAAATCCTGCATTTGTTGTAGGGGAGTCTCTTCCTCTTTCCTTTCATGTGTATAAAAGGTAAGAATGGCAATCTGGACCTGACCCGACGGGGACCCGACCCCGAATTGAGCAGTTTTTCCCCAAAAAATACCCTCGACAAGCTGGGGATAGTATTCAAAAATGAATCCTTAGTGATTTCGGGCCAAGAACGGTGATACATGTCTTAGTCCCGAACACGGCCCTGCCCCTCGCCCCATTTAGCCCCGATGTAAAATTACTATTATGCCCTGTTTATATATGTGTGTGTGTTTAGGATTTGACACACAACAACACAAACACTACAACGGTTACTACTCTCTCTCTCTCGTTCTCTCTCACCGCCGCTGTTTAAGGTTTCGTCTCGCTTTCTCTCTCTCTCATACAACGGCAGCTGTTGCTCTCTCTCTCCTCCTTCACCGCCACTCCTCCTTCACCGCCAATCCTCACTCACCGCCACTGCTGTTTAGGGTTTCACCTCTCTCTCTCTCTCTCACATACGACGACTGCTGTTCTCCATGCTCCCTCACCGCCGCTCTCTCTCTCTCGTGTTAAACTAATTGATCTAGGGTTTACATACATACATACATATATATGTATATATATTTGCTTCGACCTCTGTTTTTTTTTTCTCTAAATTTATTTATTTTAAATATGGGTTTCTTGTTAAAAGTTTGATTTCTTTTTTGTTTTTTAAGATTACAAAACATTACATCTTGTTTTTGGAGTTTTGGATTTTTTGTACACATTACAGATATGATGAAGTGATTTTGTTTTTTTGTTTGTTTTTTGCAGATTTGTTTTTCAGCCCTTTGCTCTTCAATTTCAGATCTACGTTTCAGCCCTCTGCTCTTTAACGTCGTCGTCATCACCTTTGCGTTTCAACCCTCTCCTCTTCAATTTCAGATTTTTTATTTTTTAAAGTTGTTTGATTGTTATTGATGATACTGAAAACATATTAAATTTTTTTGTTGTTGTTCTTGTATTGTGTTCAACAAAAATAAAAAATAAAAAAAAGGGTCAAGGATATGTCGAGGTCAGGGAAACTTGATCCCCGTTAGGGCTCGGGGGCGGAGAAGGTGATGGGTTCTCCGCCAGGGATTGGGGGCGGGGACGGGATTTTTTTCACTTTTGGGGATCAAGGACAGGGAGTGCAATCCCCGCCCTAGCCCGTTGACATTCCTAATAAAAGGAGGCCCTCTCCTTCAGTTTTTTACACCAGAAATTATTGTTCGTCCTGTCGTTTATAAATTTTCCAGTTTTATATTATTTTCTTCCTGTGAGAGAGTGCTGCAAAGTTCTATTCACCGACGCTACTCAGTCGATGCATTGTTGTAGCTGGTCCAACTGTCGTATCCTAGGAGACAGACGTTGAACAACCTCTAGCACCCAACCGGTGAAGTGGTGAATCTGTTTTAAGGACAGTGTTTGGTGCAGGCTTTGATTTGCTTGCATTTGCTACTTTATTTTATGATGTACTGTAATTTTCAGCATGGTTTGAAATTTGAATTGTCCATTATAAATCTATTTGTTTTATGTTATCACACAATTGCTACAACAAAACTTTCAGTGGCCCCTCGGGAGACTTGATCTCAAGGCTTTGAATATTATCCTCAAGTCTTTCCTGCTTGACCAACTCTTTATAGTTACGTTAATACACACTTCAACACATGCATTGGAGCACTAGTACACTCACAAAATTACCAAACTCTTAACTAAATGTTGAAAAGTTGAAAATAAAAATTAAAAATTAATTACTAAAAATTAAATGTTGAATTTTTAAAATTGAAAAGTTATTTGATAAAAATTTAAGTACTACACTAAAATAAATTATTTGACATGTACAAGATTAAATTTGAAATTTATTATTTTTTCAAAATCTATACTCTAATGCTGTAGTCGTTGTCGTGCAGTGACAATCACGAAACCAATGTCAATGGTGGTGGAGGTAAAAATATAGCGGTTGTAATGATGTTAGTGGGGTAATATATGAAAGTAAAAAGAGAGTGGCACTAATAATGTAATGATAATAGTAATTATAGGAATGAAATGATGGTGGTAATTATTGCAATGGTGGAAATGGTTCTAAAGGTGAAAGTTTATAATAGTTATCGTAACAGTGGAGGAGAGGTGATGGCAATGATAATGACGGTTGAGGTAGTGGTAGTAAAGTAATAACGGTGTCTATGCCAATAATGACAATGGCAATGGAGGTGGTGGTGGTGATAGTGATGGTAATAGTGACGGTGGTGATTATAACTTCGATAGTGACGGCGAAGGTGGTAGCAATAGTGGTGGTAATGATAACAATAGTGATGTTATAACAATGTATGTCTACACTTGTGTATAAATTTAATATTTATAAATTTGGTCAACATAATCATGAATTTTGATAAGATTTAAAATCTTAAATTTTGAAGTGATACTAAAACATTCAATTTAAGTGCTGAATTAAGTTACAAAGTCTCATTTTTATTAAGTTTTCTTGTATAGTATATTAGCATTGGATGCTCTAACCCACCCACTGAACATGCTCTCTAAGCCTTAAACTTCTCATTAATGGAGCAATTATTGGATATTTTAGAGTATTATTTTACATTACTTATGGTTTTACACTTGTCAAGTTTTTTTCTACAATCTTAATAAAAAGTTATGAGTTGCACGACATTAACCAATCAATAACAAGTTGGGACATCATGATGTGGCATTGTCCGAAGATTACCGCATAATTTTTCCATTAAAAGGCATAGCTATTAGCTGCAACTGCAAAATGCTATCTTTCTGCTCCTCAATTCACCAAAAATCCCAGATTCAATTAGCAGCAAGTAATAATTTCTCCTGCAACCATATTTCTAACTCTACACTCGCCACCTACTAGCACCACATATTACTACCATTTCCCAAGTCATAAAGGTTTACGTTTACGGGAGAAATATAAATTATTATTTTTTCTTCTCAATTTTTTTTTTTTTTTTTTTCTACAAATCTACGACTCAATGATTGAGATTTGAAAGGAACAAAAAAAATGTGACAAAAATGTGAATAAAATATAAATTATTATTTTTTCTCTATTCCCCCCCTCTTTTCTTTTCCTTCCCAAATCTATATTCAAATTAATAATTCAAACATAATCTTGAGTTATATTTAGATCAAGAATTTGATGGGAGATTTATTATTATTTTTTCTTTTCCTTTCTTCTTTCCATTCTACAAATCCAATGAACCTAGGATTTGAGTAGGGAATAATAATTTCCTAGCTTTTGCCTTTGTTATTCCTCCACAATCCAAGATCCAAACACTACTAAGAAAAGGGAAAAAAATAATATAAAAAAAAAGAATTCAATTTGATTGCAACTGGACAATGTGAACCTGCTTACCAACACCAACAAGACCAGAAGCAACCAATTCATACATAGTGGATTTTAGAATCATAACCAGTCACCATCATACCATGAAACAAGAAAGGTGACCCATTCTTCCAATTTCTCTGTGTTCTTACTCCCCATCAAGATGGACCATATCTGCATCCAACAAACTACTTGTACTTTCATCCAAACTGTGTTCGAATCTTGAATTTGAAAAGCGATTTGCGGAAGGGGAGGAAATGTGAATGAAATAGAAGATAATTTCTTTTGCTCTTCCTTTTTCTTTTCATTCCATAAATCTCTCAAATGTAAGATTGAAACACAGCCTTCGAAAAACAAAAGCAAAAAAGCTAAATCAAAACAAAAAAGGAGTACTGCTTTGCAACATTTATTTTCTGGCATGGCAAACAATTACTGTTTCTGAAATTAAAAGAATTATAATACTTCACCCCTGCAGTAATCCAATATTTCACAACTGCAAATCTGATTCTTATTTCAACTGAAATGAGCAATTTAATTTCATGTCTAAAGTTCCAAACCATGTCAAAAATCTCATAACAAGATTCATGATTAACACTCTCAAGTTGCATCACAGGTTGTCAAAAATAAAAAATAAAAAAACATGGTTATTTATCAGATACATCATCAGATGGACTGGCAGTGTTCGCTCCGTGATTAGCATGGACATTACCATTTACATGACCATTGGAATCCACACTATATATATGCCCCATTTTTGCACGTTTTGTCTCCAAATATCGCCTGTTGTCCATCGTTATTGGTGTTACCAGTGGAACTCTGCCTGCAATTGCCAGACCATAACCTTTAAGACCGACGTATTTTGCAGGGTTGTTTGTCATTAGCTTCATTGTCCGGACACCCAGATCCCGTAGTATCTGCAATTAGTTGGACCATGCACACAACCGTCAGACATTGAAATTTTCTCACCCAAAGAACGAAGAACAAAAAGGAGGTGGTTAGAACAAAAACAAAAGGAGAGACTAAAAGATTGACTAGGAAATTATTACCCCAATTCAACCACTGAAGTGAAAGATGCACAAAGAGAAAGAATCGATAAATCTTCCATATCATGAAAAAGGAAATGTTCCTAGAATTTCAATTTATAGCAAAGATCATAAACTCTTAAAACTTTATGAAGCATGGATATTCCAAAACTATTGCCATACAAGCACCTGGTAGTTACACGGCTCGGATACAAGATGGGTACGCTTTAGGTATTTTGTGAGTATTTCGGGGCATAAATATAATTTTTTTAAAATATAGGGCTACTGAAACAATTATATTGTGCCTATTTTTTTAATTTTTTAAAATATAGGGTATTTTTGTAATTATCAAAAAATAATAAAAAAAAATTCTTAGGATTTTTTTATTGACCATTACAAAAATATTATAATTAAATTTGTGATCAAAAATTTTAATTGCCATATGTCGTACTTTATTTATATAAAATTTTTTAACAAATTGTAAAAATATACTTTTTATGAAGGTATTGGACCGTACTTGTACATTACTTTTTTTAAGGTTTTGTCATATCAGTGTACCTGTAACGTATCCATACCCATACTTGCAACCATACCCACACCCATGCTTCCTAGCACAAAACCCACTTCCTGTTGTTTTAAAAGCCAATCAATCCACCCATTGAATATAACAAACAACTAACTCTTCTATGCTCCTTCAACAAAGTGGAACTGTGCCAGGCCGACAAAGTGACTGTCCCTACCCACGACTGGTGCTGGACAACATTTATAACTTACCTCGGACATCTGTTTACTGCCAAAAGAAATCACTTTGAAATTTGGCATCTTTCTATAAAGAGATTATTATGTCAAATTGAGAACTGAACTTGTGACAAACACTTCTTGTTCTAGTTTCAGTTACAACTCAATGTAAGTGGGTGGGGGTATGGGAGGGGGTACGCACCCCTCCCAACACTGCCCCAGATGGACTTCCCCCAAATCTCACCCCACCCTAATTAAACCATATGATTGTTCCCAGAAATAAATTATGCAGAGTTTTAAGTTAAAAAGGATAGTCTATAATAAAGTTATTCAAAGAAATCAAAGTCAGAAACTGAAACTACGTGTGATATATGTATATATGTATGCATACATCATTCAATGCATCACCTATGACAAACAAAGCAAACCTGAAATTGATAGCACAGAGAGAGAGGCACTGGCAGTAGAAGATTGTGAAATCAAAAAAGTAGTTAAAGAGTACCTGGGCTCCAATGCCATACTCCCTAGAATCAACAGGTAACCCCAGCTCCTCATTTGCTTCAACTGTGTCACGCCCATCATCCTGTAAGTTGTAAGCACGGAGTTTGTGGCCCAACCCAATTCCCCTTCCCTCGTGTCCACGAAGATACACCAATACACCCCTTCCAGCTTCTTCAATTTGTCGCATTGCCAAAGCCAGCTGATTACCACAGTCACATCTAGCTGACCCAAATATGTCACCAGTGAGGCACTCTGAATGCACCCTCACAAGAATGCCTTGCCCATCTCCAATCTCTCCCTGTTTAAACCATAACCTTGTCATGACTCATGATTAATCATATGAAGACTTGATTGGAACACCGAATTGTGCTTTTTTAGTGGAAGACCCGAGTCATTAAATTTTCTCCCACAGATTAGTAACCAAGAAAAAAAAATCGTATGGCACAGACAAGAGATGAACAATTATGGAAAGGTGAAAAATTCCTTAACAAGCTGTCGAAAGGGTGCTAAGTGGTGACAGTAATAATCATAAAGTTTTCCACAACAGGTAACCTGATAGTGTGCCAGTGTGAAGAAAGACACATATAACACATACAGAGATGTTCTGAGTATTGAAGCCCTTGTGACAACATTCCTGAGCTAGTTAAACTATCTAAAAGAAAGAGATCTTTAGACAAGCATAAGTTAACAACCTCCAGGAAAAAGGGCAAAAAAAGAAAAGAAAAAGTGATGGACAGTCTGACCATTTGACAACTACATACGTTGAATGCAGGTAATCTTCAATTGTATCAAGTTAGAATCCACATAAAAAGCCTATGTTTAGTACATTAGATTCACCAAATTGTAAAATCGAGAAGAACTATCCAACAATCCCAACAAAAAGTTCAGTACAAATTTCACTGCAATGCCGCAATGGACCCAGATCTTTCATTTCGAACGTGCGGAAGAGATGTTACTTGACCTCAAAGATAGCAGAAGTGTCAGAGCCAGTGATGATTATATCATCCACATAGAGTAAGAGAGCAACAAAATCAGCCGAGGTATGTCTCAGAAACAAAGTAGAGTCGGAAGCAGAAGGATGAAACCCAAGCCCGGTAACATCAGTCAGAAAGCGATCATATCAAGTCCAAGGAGATTGCTTCAAACCATACAGAGCAAGCCGAAGATGACAAACCTGCCCAGAGGAGTGGAGAAGGCTAGGGGAAGGATGCATGTAGACCTACTCAGTGAGATGACTGTTAAGAAAAACATTCTTAACATCCATCTGATAGAGAGGCCAATGCCGAACAGCAGCAATAGAAATCAAGGTACGGACAGTAGTTATCTTGGCAACAGGGGCAAATGTCTCCTCATAATCAATACCATACTCTTGCGAGAAACCCTAAGCAACCAAGCGAGCTTTGTATCGCTCGAAAGAATTATCAAAATGAGTCTTAACTTTATAGACCCATTTGCAACCAACTAGATTTTTGCTGGCAGGCAAAGGAACCAACTCCCAAGTGTTAGTCTTCTGCAAGGCAAACAACTCATCCTCCATAACTTGAACCTAATTAGGATCCTTCTGAAAAAGAATGAATAACAGACAAAAAGGTACGATAGGAAGCAGAAAAACATCTATTATACCAACCCAACCTGTTTGGGGGACAACGCTCATGAGTAGGATATCGGTGTACAGCGGGATCAAAGTCGTCAAAAGCAGCAGGATCAACAGCAGGGGTAGAGACAATTGGTGGAGGAAGAGCCTTGCGACGAGAATAAACTAACAACAGAGGAGGAGAAGAAGCCGAAGGAGGAGAAGCAACCAAAGGTGAAGTAAGAGGAAAAGATGGAACAAGCTCAGGAGGAACAGTGGAGATGTACCCATCAGACGAGACCTCAAAAGGAAATGGATCAATATGAACAAAATCCTTTTTGAAAACTAGGGCGGTGAGAGGAAGAAACTGAAAGTAAGGTAGACGTTTGAGAAAGGCAACATGGCGAGAGACATGAAGGCAACGAAAAACAGGGTCATAACAGCGATAACCTTTCTGAATGAGACTATAACCCAAAAAGACACATAGGACAGACTGGGAACTAAGTTTGGTCCTATCTTTACGGAATAAAAGACTAAAACAAGCAAACCCAAACACACGAAGGATGGAGTAATTAAGAAGTTGGGAAAACAGAGCCTCATAAGGAGACCGACCAGAAAGAAGAGGGGTAGGCATACGGTTGAGAAAAAAAGCAGCAGTAAGAACTGCCTCACCCCAAAACGGAGCTGGAATGGAGGCAGAGAGAAGGAGAGACCTAGCTGTCTCAAGAAAATGACGGTGTTTGGCTCAGCTCGACCATTTTGGGCAGGTGTATCAGTACAAGAAGTTTGGTGAATGGTACCCAATTTGGCCAAGTATTCACAGAATTCAGTTTTAAAGTATTCCTCGTCCAAGTCAGACCGCAATAATTTAATAGTAGACCCAAACTGTGTAGTGACTATAGACTGAAAAGTACAGTATATCTAGTAAAAATCAGACTTATGAGCCATAAGATAAACCCAAGTGTAACGGGTGCAGTCATTAACAAAAGACACATAGTATGCAGAACCCCCTTTGGTGAACAGGAGAAGGGCCCCAAACTTTAATATGAACTAAAGAAAATGGTGTATCAAATATAGAAGTACTTTTATGAAAATGTAAGGCTGTTATTTTGGCAAGTTTACACCCCCAACATTCAGTATGTTCACTAGGAGAAATTTTACCCAATATACCCGACTGAGCTAAAGGCAGTAAGCAATCAGCAGACAAATGCCCTAATCTAAAATGCCATAAGTAGAAAGGACTAAACAGAGAATCTAATTGAAAGGAGGAAAAGGCAATCTGAGAGGTTGCCATAAGCAGATGTAAGCCCTCCACCATATAGAGGTCTCCAACTCTATAACAGGTCCCAATCTGTTGCTTAGACATCCGATTCTACACAGAACAGACAAAAGAAGAAAAGATAATATCAAAACCAGAGGCATCAATCTGACTAATAGATAATAAACTGACAGATAACTGAAGAACATAAAAGACAGATAGAATAAAGACAGCAGACATAGCAGATAATAGGACAAACCCAACAGATATAACAGACATACCAGACCCATCAGCAACATTGAGAGTAATAGGAAAGGGAGGAGTACAATTTTGAAGTAAGGGGAGATGGGGAGTCATATGATGAGAGACACCAGAGTCAAAAATCCAGACAAACGAAGAAATACCCGAAGAAGATCCAAGCAAACCTTAATTAAAAAAGGAAACAATGGAGGCAGAAGGAGATGGTTGGGAGGCAGACAATATATGCTGAAGCTGATTAATCTGAGCACTCAAGGAAGCCAAGTCAGGATCAGGAACCAGAGTAGATGCAGTAGAACCGACAGGAGGCTGAAAAATATTCGGAGAAGAGGCGCAGAACTAGATCGAAAATTGCTGAGAAGACAAGGCAGATAAACATCCCTTCTTGGGACAACGATACTTCTAATCACCCCTCTAATGGTAGAAGGCACACTCATCAAAAGTCAAAGACATCGTAATAAATAGAAATGTGAGGGGTTCAAGTATAATAAACCAAGAACTGATAAGTCAAAACATATAATAATCCCAAACAACCAGAACCAGATCACCACAATATGATCCACACATTGGTACTGACGTGGTCAAAGTGAAATAAGGACAAAACCGGGTGGACTAAGGTCAAAGAACTAATACAAAGAAAGGGAGCTTTCTTATCAGAGAACAGAGACGAGACCAAAGACGAAGAGAGAGGGAGCTTCGTCAATACCAACAACGAAGCAGAGGGCTTCACTCGACAGAGAGAGAGAGGGAGAGAGAAACAGAGCAGCAGACGAACCAAAGGGGAGATTCGTGATGATGTATCGAACCAGAAACAAAGGACTGTTGATCGAACAGCCTAGACGACCCACGATGTGCGGTCGATTAGCTGAACTAGAGAGAGAGAGAAAGAGAGAGCCCTGAATCGCGACTTCAGACCAGGCACAGAGGCCTTTGCGACTTCGAAGAAGACTAGAGAACACTTCGAGCTTCAAATGATCAAGGCCCGACCTAGGGTTTCGGACGTGGCTCTGATACCATGTAAGTTTCCTGAAAGTTTTTCTGTATATTGAATCATTGCGATTTACAAAGAGTTCATCAGTTTATATAGTCCTAAATCTATAACTGAAAAAGGAAATACAAACTAATTCCTATTTACACAATCATGCCATATATACAATATATTCTCACAATTATTGCCTCAGAAGCACCAGAAACTAATAACCTGATTCAACAATTAGCAAGAGGGCTTACTAAATTATTTCATTCAAACCATGAGCATTACTAACAAAAAATGAAAAACCTAACATGAGTATTCTGTAAAATTGCCAAGGACTGAAAACCACTGCTGCACACCTTAAAATCTGTTTCTCGTGGGTAAAGGCTGTTCTTAGAGGATTAAAAATGGATCATGGTTTGAATAAAAACTCCCTGCACAGCACAAACTTGATGGTTTTCCTACACCTTAAACAAGAAACTTCACTTAACCATTTGATACCAAAGTCCTTGAAATATTCTCATCTAAATCAGAATAGACATATCACAGATCCCCTCCAGGTTGATTTTAAACATGAATTCTTGCATATCACCTTGTGCAATTCAATGAAGACTCAATCTGTTAACTACTTAAAATTGATTGAATTGTTATAATCATTTTTTGCTGTTCAACTAAATCATTACAGACATATCACAGGTAGTTTCCTGTCACATAGCAAGATTAAATGGAATGATATGTTCTGATGTAACTACTATTGTAATCACAAGAACACCTTGGAATAGTGAATTCACAATATTTTACTTTGTACTGATCTTGTATGATATTAAAAGTGGAGGAAGTCATATTGTTAAGTGCTTCAATTACAATGACTTGCTTACTTTAACCATAGCAATATGCTCAATCCCATCCAGCAGTGACCTATAGCAGTAGGCTTTGAAAGGGCCCCACATTGTTGGTATCGGTGCATCAGCAGCCTTCTCCACCAATTTATCTCTTTTCCTCCTATATCTGCCAATTAAATTTTATAAGAAAAGGAAAATGTCAGAATATAGTTTGGAAAGCAACCCGAGTTAGAATTTAGGCCAAGAAGCAAAAACATTAAATTTATCACAAATCCATTCTTTGAGCATAATCATCAAGTCAAGTCATTTAAATTTGAGAATTCTCGTCATTTGCAAAAGAATTTTGTTGAACATTGCAAAATGTTTTGGCTTTTTGATGATTTTTCAGTTACTTGTTAGAGATTGTATACCTTTTTATTTATGATTCTTCTTAAGTATGCAATAAAGGTAAGGGGCATTCTTTACTCGAGAAGATTTATATATAATTCAGAATATATAGAAAAGTGAAAAATAAATACATAAATAAATAAAGAAATAATGTGCTGCCTTCCTGTAATATTCGTTAACTGACCTATTCATTATGAAAGATCAATAATATACTTCATATAAAAACCTGATAAACAAGCACCACATCCTCTTTGTTGCCAAAATGTCATAAGATTCCTCATTTCTTCCCATATTCACAAGCAAATCTAGCAAAATCTAACCAAGATCCGCGAAAACTCTCCAAGCATAAATAGGTTTTGCACAAAGTGGTTCCCCGAGCCACCGGCCTAAAAGAAACAAGCTGTCTTTCCAATGTCTTTTATATCAAACATGTCTTCAGTGTGTCAATATTTCCTAGATAAAAAAGGAATATGATAAAAGAGGGATAGAGAGTGGGTTTCAAGTTATCCCAAATTAATGGATTAAGTTTTGATCTATATCATTAATCCAATGACACAATGGTCAGGTCTGGGCTGGAACAGGGTTAAGAAATGCATTATCATTGTAGCATTGTCATTTGAGGTAAACAATATGAATTCTTTCCTAGTAAAAGATATTTCTTCTAATTGAGGTAAAATAATTCACGAAAGCTTCCCATTCCTTTCCTTCTCTTTTAATAACCGAATCTTTGACTTGCACTAAATCGAAATTTCTCACAGTGCAGTCACTGTCGTTAAAAAACCAGCAATCAAGGTTTTAAAAAGTAGCCGCAACCGTTACGCAAGTAACGGTTGTGGTGGTTACCGCCACCCGTTAAGGCCGCTATAACAGTGTGACAGAAATTCACAACCATAAAGACCACAACTGTTATGTACAAGCCGTAATGGCTGTTACATTGCCGTTACAACAAACTTAAGTAAAAATCTTATCTATATATGTTTTGAATGTCCAATGTTCTAATTCTATAAGATTTCATTACTTTTCACTTAATTATATTTGAATATGAACTTATATCTATTTCTCTATGTTAAATGTATTAAATAAAATTTAGATTTCATGTTATGTATTTTTACATCATTATGTTTGTATTTTGAACTTATGTTTATGAGATTATTATTTTTAATATTAAACATCTTAATGTTTTTTTAACAAATTGGAAGTTATCCATAAGTATAATTAGTAAAGCAAAGAAAATTAAATAAATCCAACAGTAGGAAATTTCTCTATAGCGACTTATAACTAACATATAAAATGTAGTATATATATTTTGAATCATATTTTAAAACTAAACAAAAATACTAAAAATCATTTTGAACCTCACTAAATTTGATTCTGAAATAAAAACATGTGTATCGATATGTTTGCCTAAAGTTGTGCAAAGAATTAAAAAATTCACAGTTCCGGTTGCCACCACCATTACGCTACGGCCATTACACCCCGCAACCGTGTCAACACTACCGCTACCATTACAGTAACCGCCACCGTTATTTAAAACCTTGCCAGCAATTAATCATATTAATAGGTAATCTCCTGATTTTGTCAACTACATGGCCACTCTGGATTGATTGAATGCAATTACTTTTCAAATCATCCACTGTGTTACATTGATTCTAGAACATTCTAACATGTTTCTTGGTGAACTAATATCATGCTCTATTAATGGATGGCCAAATTTTCCTCATTCAACATTCACATCATACACAATGAGTCTACTGAGATCAACGAGCCTTCATCAATGAAGTACCTTGGTAGCAGTCATCATAAAGAGTCCACAGGATACATCTCATACCAATATGCTGGTCTAAGTTGGAGCGGGGCGAGCGAAGACAAATATGAAGAAATTGAAGGCTGACAGCATATCAACAATAGTTGGTTGGCGTCCTACCATTTTCCTTATATTGAACTTGAAATGACAAAAGTGATCACACCATGCAATGTAGCAATGAAAAAATATTGGTGCCTTTTTTTTCCTTTTTGACAACACAAAATATACCTTATTAAATCAGCAATGGAAATAATCTTCAAGTTCTCAGCCTGTGCAAATTGCCGAAGCTTTGGTAATCTAGCCATGGAACCATCATCATCCACAATCTCACACAGAACGGCAACAGGGTCCAACCCAGCCAACACAGCTAGATCAACTGAAGCTTCTGTGTGTCCAGCCCTTTTCAGAACTCCTCCCTCCCTATACTTCAATGGAAAAATATGGCCTGGGCGGTTAAAATCCTCAGGTTTTGAATCTCTTGATGCTAGAGCTAAAATTGTTGTTGCTCTGTCATGAGCTGAGACACCTGTTGTAGTACCATATTTTGCATCCTCCAGAATCCAATAGACCAACGTCAAATATGAGAGTCAATAATACAGGATGGGGAAAGTAACACTATTATTTTGATACTGATACAACCTAGAAGACAATAAGAACAACAATTATTTGATTGGACACTGGCTCGATGGATCTTGTACTTGAAAGAATCTTCATAAAAACTATTAATGCCCCACAAGAAATTAGGATTGAGGATATCGATCCATCTTCCACTCTAGCCTGCCCAAAGACTTAAGCCTATATATCTAATTAAATTAGGTACACAACCATGAAGTGTGGGATCATGGTATGCCTGCTGTAATTGTGAGAACCTGTTAGGGTTGCAAATGAACCGAGCTATTCACGAACAAGCTTGGTTAGGCTTGTTTAGTAAACGAGCCGAGCTCGAGCTCAAATAAGCTTGGCTCGTTTATCTTTATTTAAATTATATAATAAATATATTATTTATATATTAAATAATATATAAAATAATAGTATAAATACATTATTTATATATTAAACAATATATATATATAATATTTTTTATTTAAATAATATTTAAAAAATCTTATCGAGCCGAGCCGAGCCGAGCTCGAGCTCGACAAAGCTCGGCTTGGCTTGGCTTATTCGCAGCCCTATGCATGAACAAGAAAGTGCTAAAACACCTTAGTTTTGGCATGGGCATGAAAACTTCATCCATTAGATGCCCACTGATCATAGATTACATAAAAGGAATTAACGGGTCTGATGGGCAAGGGAGCAAAAGGTTGTTCATGCCAAAAGCTATTGGCAGATCATGCTTCAGTTCATAATAAAAGCTTAGTTTCATAATCAATCTACAACAATAAAGATCCTGTTTTTCTTCCAGATGTTAAATTAAAACAAGGTAGTACAAGCCATATACATTAAAGTTGTATATATATTTTTTTCTTGTGAAGCTCCAGAGTAAGAAAGGTGAAAATGCAACATTCTAAAATATTATTTATGTCATTTTGCCTATTCAATCTGCAAACGAAGTCCTAGTAAATTTCGTACCATAAAGATTAATGTGCATGACCTTGGAATAAGTAAGTTTTTCACTTAAATCCTAGCACCGTCAAAAACAAGTGTTGAAAGCAGTTGAACTATATCAAGAGGAATAGACCGCATACCACTGACACTGTGAAAGCTGTACTAAGTTTCTCATCATTCTCCTTTTGTGAAACCATTAGAGGAAGTTGCAATCTCTCTAAGTCTTCACCTTTCATGCTGACACAAACTATTCCAGTTCCATGCTTCACAATAAAGGCCATATCTTCAGGTTTTACCAGTGATGCTGCCATTATAAAATCCCCTTCGTTTTCTCTGTCTTCATCATCAACAACAATTACAAACTGCAAGGTCATTCAAACCAGTGATATATCAAGCAGCAAACCAAGTGGTCCCACAAACTAATTGGCAAAGAGGTAACCAACCTTGCCTTGACGGATGTCTTCAATGGCCTCTGGAATTGAAGAAAATCCTTCAGTAGGACTATCGAGGTCAAATTCATCATCATCAGCCAAAAAACTCCCTGTTGGAGTTATTTCTCCAGCAAATGTTCCAAAAGCTACTGCATCGGGTTGTAGCTCAGTTCCAGGGGGTTGGCCTACCTGTTTGTTGCCAATACCACGGCCTGAAATTGTATTGCTGCTAGGATAAGACAGGAAATCACCTTCCCCAGATATCAGCGCAGCTCTGGCTCTACCATCAACTTTGAAACTAAAGCACAATTTTCTAGAGAGACTAGTTGAGACTAAATTCAACATGTTGCCATTTGCCACAAATGGATTGACACAGTGCAATCCGTTGTACCCTCTGAAGAAAGAAACAATTATGGAATGCATATGGTTAGAAAGAAAACGCAGAACCAATAATATCTAAAAGTAACCATAATCTGAATTCTCTGTGAAATTGCATTTCATGTTCTATCCATATTTTTAGCATTTTAACATGTCCAGAGATGCTTTCAAAATGCATAGTCCTAGATCAATGATGTGGCGACTTGAGAAACAACTCCTTCAAGTTCCTTGCCATGCGGTAGATTTGTTAAACATGAAATCAAATAGTTGAGCCCTCCATTGAAAGGCAGCCTAGAGGGGATGAATAGGCCACTGTGTAAGTTATTTCCAATTGAAAATTAATTCAATGGATTAACAATTCAATTATCCAAATCAAGATATACCAATCAATAACATCCACGCAATATAGTAGTAAAAATTAAATCAAATCAAGACACGAGCAATATAAGTGGAAAACCTAGGAACAACAATTTATATGGAAAAAACTACATGTCACCTCAGAGTAATCCATTTGACAAAGCGTTAACTCACAAGATTAGACCAGTGACTTAAACCCCAACTCAGTTTGCACTCGACTCTACAATTGTGTACCACAAAGTTGCTCACTTGATTCCATTCACAAGTGGCTCTTACCCCTTTGACCATCTCTTGTCTAGACCTCCACAA